TGGGCAGCGGCACCCAAGGGCGCAGGCCTCACCTCATGGCCTTTGGCTTTCTCTTTGCTTGCTTTTCCAGGACCCCAACTCAATCTGGGACCATGCGTCACCCTCAATGTCCTCAGAGTCGTGCAGCTCAACTACTGCAATGGCAATGGCCAGATTGACCAGGTGGGAAACCCTTACCCTTCTCCTACCAAACGCCAGGGCTGCCCAAAGCCAATCCCCATGCCCTTCTTCCCTGCTATCTCCTCTTGGAAGAGTTTCCTTCTCAGGGCTGGGGATGCTGAAACAATGCAGGGCTTGATCCTTTGTCCTTGTGAAGATCCTGAGGGCACTGCTGCCATTCCCTGCAGGAGCAAATCTTCTCTTCTCCCAGGGATCTGGGCAGGTCACCCACTTCCTTCAAAGCCTAAAGGCTTCCTTCTTTCTCTTGCCGTTTTAGCCTCCCCAGGATCAGGGTCAGGGTGACAACCAGGAAGTCATCATTGGTGGCCAGTCCCAAATTCTGACCATCCACAAGCAATGGCGTGTGGCAGTTATCACCCAAACAACCCCCACTGGCTCCTGGAAAACCATCTGGAACTACAACACGGTGAGTGGAAGGGAGTGGGCTTGTCCGGGCACTGTGACAGGAGCTCCAGCTGAACAAGGCCCGGGGCTTCTTGCTTTCCTCTCAACCGTTTCAGTCCAGGATTTGGGGGGAGGAACTATTGGTATTCCTTGCTGGTTTCAATCCAGATTTTCTCTCAGCTTTTCCCAGTTGCAAAACAGAACGGCCAGTGCTCAATACCTTTCTCTTCACAGGGCCTCATTGCAACCAAAGTGATGCAACAGAACACCTGCTACATTTCCATCATGGACAAAAACGAGATGCCCAGCTTTAACAATCTTGCCAGACTGGCCAGAGAGAGCAGGGTAAGAGTCCAAAAAGAGCTGCACTTTCTTGACCTTGGAGCCCGTGGGGCCTTTTCTTAACTGGGCTTTTTCCTGCTGGAGAGCACCACCTTGTCACTCGTGGCACGACTGTCTTGCCCTCAACTGCAGTGCGGCTTGGGAATTTCCCCTAGGGATGCTTTGTCCCAAGAAAGGAGGGGGGGGCTCCTTCCCTCTGCCAGCTGTGCTTTCTCTCAGCAACCTGAGCTCTGCGGCTTGCTGAGAAACCCTTTCTCTCAGCAGCCCTTCAAGGCCACCAACGCTTTTGGCATGGCAATCCTTCCAAGGCCTTCAGAGTCACTGCAACACCAACCTGCCTTCGTCAGCTCAGCCCTTTGCCTTGCAGCTCCCATTGTCCGCACTCTCTTTTCCTTTTGGGAGGGAGAGGGATCTGTGCCATGGCAAAGGCACCACTAAAGGCAGCTGCCACTCCCACCCCAAGCACCCGCTCGTCACTGCACAACTCCCCATTTGCCCGCCATGAAACACGTCCCAGCACCCATCTTGCTGAATGCTGTCGTTTGGTGTCCAGAACCAGGTCGGTCTTGGAAGACTTACAAGGAAGATCACCTTTGTCACCAGTGGATTGGGCAGCAACCTCCAGTCTTATGGAGCAGACATCTTCTCTATGTGCAGCGGAGTCACCACCTACATGGCTCATGAAGTTCATGGTGAGTGCAAGCAAAGGAATTCTGTGTCTCTCTGACCTGGCCCTTTTTTCCCCTTGGCCAATGACTACTGCATGAATGCTCTTCAGCCAACTCAAGACAGATGAACCACCCCCTCCCGGGCAGCGGCACCCAAGGGCGCAGGCCTCACCTCATGGGCTTTGGCTTTCTCTTTGCTTGCTTTTCCAGGACCCCAACTCAATCTGGGACCATGCGTCACCCTCAATGTCCTGAATGTTGTGCAGCTCAGCTACTGCAATGGCAATGGCCCGATTGACCAGGTGGGAAACCCTTACTCTTCTCCTACCCAGCGCCAGGGCTGCCCAAAGCCAACCCCCATGCCCTTCTTCCCCGCCATCTCCTCTTGGGAGAGCTTTCTTCTCCAGCATGGAGAGCCTCAAACACAGCAGGGCTTGTCTTTCAAACCACACCTGTCCCTTAAAGACCTGGAGCGTGCATTCCTTCGGCCCACTTCTCTTGCACGCCTCACACTCCAAAGGCACCACACGCCAGCTGTAAGATGCAGCAAGGATTCACTGACAGCAGGAAAAAGATTCTTATGGCTACGGCCCAACGCCACAGCCTTGATCCTTTGTCCTTGAGGAGATCCTGAGGGCGCTGCTGGCACTCCAGGCGGGCAGCACTTATATTCTACCAGGGGTTCGGGAGTTTACTGATTCTCTTTGTAATCTAAACATGCTCCATTACTTGTTGTTTTAGTCTCAGCAGAGTGATAACAACTGCCAGATCTCTGTTGGTGGAGTCTTCCAAAATATGACCATCAGTAGTCAAACCCGTGTGGCAGTTTTTGAGCAAAGAAGCAACGATTTGTCATGGAAAACCATCTGGAACTACAACACGGTGAGTGGCAGGGAGCGGGCTTGTCCGGGCACTGTGACAGGAGCTCCAGCTGAACAAGGCACGGGGCTTCTTGCTTTCTTCTCAACCTTTCCAGTCCAGGATCTTGGGTGAGGAGATATTGGTATTCCTTGCTGGTTTCAATCCACACTTTCTCTCAGATTTTCCCAGTTGCCAGTGCTCAATACCTTTCTCTTTACAGGGCATCATTGCAACCAAAGTGATGCAACAGAACACCTGCTACATTTCCATCATGAACAAAAACGAGATGCCCACCTTTGACGCCCTGTTCAGACTGGCCAGAGAGAACAGGGTAAGATTAAAAGCAGAAGTTGTAGAGTGATTGATATTCATTTTTTGTCTGAGAAATCGGTATTTTCAAAAACTTATAAATGATTCGGGTACGTAATTGGAGAGCTTTTGAAATTTCTAATATCCTCATTCATATGCCTGTATTGTAGGTCATAATGTTTATTCAAAGTTACAGGTTACTTAGATTACTTTTGCAGTGCTTAAAATGGGTATTTAAATTGAAGGTTTTTTATTTTGTCCTTTGGTCAAAGATTTTAGATTCTTGGCTAAAACACAATTATTTTTCAGAGTCTTTCATTTGGAGTGTAAAAACTATATTTTTTCCTGTACGTTAAATTCAGGAATGACAAATCTGGCAGTATGGAGATTTTAAATAAGTTTAAATAAGCTTTCAATCTTTTTCAAAAGAACCTTACACCCTATTAGCATGAGTTCAACCCACCGAATTGGAATTTTAAAAATGACCTCAGCATTTAGCACACTCACTGTTG